TTTATGAGTGGGTAAAGGGGGGATGGAAAGGAGGAGAGGCCCATATGCGTGGCCACCCTGTGCCATACATCAAGTGTCGCCTTCACCAGGGGTTGGTGAGATGCGTCTTCCAGGTCAACCCTTTCAGTGAACCTCCGGTTTGGAATCTTTCTATCTCCTTCCAATGTCTGACCACTCCATCCTTGACCCACTCCAGCACGTATTGCAAATGGGAAGACTGATAGTAGAGTCTGAAGTCAGGGACTGCTAGGTCGCCCTCGAGTTTCGGGCGCGTGAGCGTTGGGTATTTCAACCTCGGCGTGCCCCAGCCCCAAAAGTACTTAATCATCAGAGACCTCGGGATCTGAATGGGGAGTATCTGGAACAGGTTCAATATGCGAGGGAGGAGAGTCATTTTTATTACTGCTATGCGGCCGAGCCAGGATAAGTGAGGCAGCTTCCATTCTGCAAGGTTTTTCTTAAAATTTTTAGGATCGGGGTGAAGTTGAGGCTATGGAGTTGGGCTAGAACCCGGGTTATCCACGTCCCCAGGTACTTAATCAGCCTTTCAGACCAGTGGAAGTGGAAGCTTTGGCGCAGTACGTCGGCCCTCTTTGCCTTTAAGTTGACGTTGAGCAGGTTCGATTTCATGAGATTGATCTTAAAATTAGAGATCCTTCCGTAGATTTGAATTTCCGTATTATGTTGGGGAGGGTTGTCTCAGGTAAGGAGACGAAGAAAATTAGATCATCCACGTACGCAGCCACCTTATGTGTTGATTCTCCTGTTGTGAGTCCTCTGATATCTGTGTTTCTCCTGATTGCCTGCAAGAACAGTTCCAGGGCCAGGACCAACAGTAGGGGCGAGAGTGGGCAGCCTTGTCTGGTCCTGTTACGGATGTGGAATGCTTCCGTGTAGGAATGCAGACCTTCGCCGATGGGTCAGCCTACAGCGCCATAATCCATTTATACATATTTGGTCCCATCCCCAGTGCTTGGAGCATGCCGAACAGAAAGGCCCAGTTTACTCTGTCAAAGGCTGTAACGAATCACCTGGCACCCCGACTGGGTACCTCCGTTGACGGATGCTCCTAGTGCTTCCTGAGGGCTCCAAGTACTCCACTTGACACCATAAGCACTGTAGACCCCACAAACCACCTCAGCTTGGTTGGGGTCTTGCCGTCTCCTACCCACCATGGACGTACGGCAAGGTGAACCTCTCTTTCCCCAGAGAGTGAAGCAGGAACAGGAACAAGCTCTTACAAGAGTATAGTGATTATTCAAGGGAGTATGAAGAGCATAGAAATCCCTTGTAGCAGATTCCCCCAATAAGATACAGGACTCTAGATTGAGGGTGAAGTAGAACTGGAGGTTTAATGGTACAGCTGTTCTTTTATACAGTTTTTCCCCACAAGGTTTGATTTGTGTATCGGTTTTGCAGTCCCCTTCGATTTGCCTTCAGGGTTGTTCCCGTAGTAGCCTTGTGTATAGATATGATTGGTCAGTTTTGGTGTGCTGTCTTCCCAGAAGAGAGTTTCCTGTATATAAATTATATGGGCTTTTTGGCTTTAAAATCTTTCAGGGCAAGCGATCGTTTATCAGGGGTGTTTAGCCCTCGGATATTAATCAAGAGAAGTTTGAGGTCCACTGGGGAAAAGGGGCTAAGTCCCATGTCTGGCTTGGGGTTGAGTGTAGTATGTTTGCAAGGTTGGGTCAGTTGCCAATAGGCGGTGACAGAGCGGTGCAGGGGCAGTCTTCCGCTCAGGTTATGGTCACTCAAGCCCAAATGGTTGGGGGGGGGGGGTGATCTTCTACAGATCAGGGACGAAAAGGTAAGTAGAGGATGTGTCACGGTGCATCTCCTGTTACGCCTACCTTGGTATGTCAGAATAAGTAATTAGAGGATGAGATTTTGGCTATTGAGAGAACTCTGCTCATGATCCTTCCCAGTGTCCAGACCCCTGGAACCAACATGCCTATCTGGGAATGTGTGTGTGGTGACTAAAGGGGTACCTCTGCATGTGACAC